TTCAAGTACCATTTTATAAAATGTGCAAATGTATCCCGATTATATAATCACATTATCTAAAAAACATTTCTCTACATCTGCACAAAACTTATAAGTGACTCCAGGACTCAGGCATTAAATCTAAGAAAAAGCATTCAAGTACCCTAACTATTAACAAAAATGTATCTTATTTGTGTGTCACCCGTCTGGAGATCCTCAAATCATCTCTGAATCGGTGCTGACACTGTCCTTCCTTCTGGAGGGGTGGGGGCTACGTTTGTTCCCCATGGTGCTTGTGTTATAAAGTAGTCACCTCACCAAGCTCGCTCCCATGATGGACTACAATCTCAATACACATTCGTAAACTAAACCTAATGTGTATTGATATCGGGAGTGAGCTTGGAGCAATGGCTACTTTACAACACACACACAGGGACCATAGGGAACACAGAAGGAAGGACAGTGTCAGCACCAATTCAGAGATGATTGGAGGATCTACAGCCGAGTGATACACAAATAAGATACATTTTTGTTAATAGTTAAGGTACTTTAATGCATTTTTATGATTTAACTCCTGACTTTAGTGTCACTTTAAATAAAGGCAGTAAGTTCTCTTTACTTTTACTTATCCGCTTTTGTGACCAGAGGTCTTTGACACCAGGTTTTTTTTTTTTTTTTGAGAGTTAAGGTACTTTTTTAAACGTAACACTTTAAACATAAAACTACATACGTATGGATGTCTCATCATTTTCAGTGGCTCAGTTTTATCATAGGACACACATCTTATGAATGTTAGAGGAGGAAGGAGTCAAGTTAATTTTTAAAAGATGGATCGATTTTATGTTGCTACTTTGTAGGCAGTATGACGAGCCCCAGAATGCAATTACGCATGGCAACTGATCAAAACCCAACTTCCAGAAATTCAGTGAAAGCTTGAACTTATGACTTGTGATTTGTTACTATAGGTAAATCCGCTCTACTCTTTTTTGCACTGTTAAAGGGGGAAGTCCAAAAATTCACCACTAGTTCAGGCACAGGTAGATGTGGACTAATTGAATTACCCACCGGCTTCCTATATCTATTGTAAACTCTAGCAGTGTGAGGAATCACAGATTTACCCACGGCAACCAATCAGAACCATGTTTTCAGCAGCTCAATAAATGCTGATTTATTACTATAGGTAAATGCATTCTTATTTTGTTCTTGGCATGGTTAAAAAAAAAAGTCAAAAAAAATCTAACGATATTTATTTTTATTAATGGTATTTATAGAGCGCCAACAATTTACAGAGCGCCCTTACACAGTTGCACATTCACATCAATCCCTGCCCTCAAGGAGCTTACAATGTATGGTCCCCATGTCCAATTAACCTATCAGCATGTCTTTGGAGTGTGGGAGGAAACCGGAGTACCCGGAGGAAACCCACGTAAGCACAGGGAGAACATGCAAACTCCTTATTTCACATGCAGGTAGATGCTGACTGACTAAATGACCCACAGGTTTCTTATATCTACTAGAGACTCTAGCAATCAGCCACCCCAAATGGAATTCTTCACTCCTCTAAAACAAGTCATTTAGATAGTCTGCACAGGTAGGTGGAGCTGAGCACTCGGGGTGCACAAGTATTGACCACCACAGTTCCTGACAGAAGGACACAGCATATGATTTAACATGCAACACGCCACCCCAAACTGTAATACCATTTTTACCTGTGCAGAACCTTTAAAAGGGAACTCTTGTTAAGAGAGAATCACAAAGGCTGCCATTGGTAATTTAGCAATTTGCAAATGTTCCTTCTTGTTAACTATTATGCGTCAATACTTGGGAGTCACTAACCCACAACAAGCATGCTGACAAGAATGTCTTTCTTATCTGCATACGTATTGCATGCCAGTGACTTAAAGTATTAGAAGCCAAGAGGTTCAGGATAACAGCCAGGAAACTAGACTTTTCTGAAGGAGGTCAGCAAAGGCTACCCTAGTATATCTCTTAGGAAAGCTTAACTTTAATATGCAAGACCATTGTTCTGGGTTTTAATCCCCACTGCTTGCTACCCCCTCATCCGACCTGGACACTCACCCACAGAAGATCATGTCTAGCATGTGTGAGATTGGCAAAGAATGTCCCGTTGACCATCGTACAAGACGCTGCACAAGTGTTTCCAAGTCCACAGACTGCGAGTTAAGACAATAGCTGGAGACTGGGCTTATATACCCTATCACGCTACAGCATGATGCAACATATAGAAAGACTCACAGACAGATGTTTTATGTTAAAGGCAGGGAACTGGGATTGTGGACACTTCCCAAGGCCGCTTCCTGAGTGTTAACTCTTTGGCAGATGGAAGACCTGGCAGTTCTGTAAAGTGCACAGACTGCTGGAGACCCGAGGCAGTGAAAGTGTCAATGATGGAAGTTTGGTGGGACAGGCACAGTCCTATTCATAGAGTGGGTTCCCAAAGGGTGGGGGGATGGGTTAATGTGAGGTTCCAATATTCCCAGCCAGGGCTGGTAGACTGGCTGACCGGAGCTAAAAATAGCTGCACATCTGGAGCAGGGAACATGGGATAAGGCAATATAGATGGCTTTAGAGCACCGAACAAAGAAAGCATTGTAGGGAAAGGGTGGTACAGAACATATAAAAGTAAAAGGTCCATGCAAGAAAGTCGTTAATAACATAAAAAAAGAGGTTAGGTGTATTTTGCACAAGAGATATAATACAGTAAATGCAATATAGCCAGAGAGCATAGGAAGAGAATTACTGTGAGGCATAGGATGAAGCAAACTCTGTACTGCAGAGCACCATGAACAAAGACTGTAGGGTTGATTCACTAGAGGAGTAGCGTGTGTTCACTTTGCAAAGGGAACTTGCACTTAGCTGAGAGAATATGTGAAACAAGAACAGAGTGCACCGGATAAATAGATAAAAGATACCCCTACAAACAATGGCTTGGATAGGAGCGGGTAACCAAGTGCAAACCATCTTCTGCAGAAAACCAGTTCACAGCAACCATTGCTACATCAAACTGTCCTTGGCAGCCGGCAACAGAAGAGGAAAAGAGCAAAGGATGGAATAAGTGACAGTTTGATGTAGCAATGGTCTCTGTGAACTGGTTTTCTGCAGTAGGTGGTTATCCATAATGCCTTACCCTCATCCAAGCCATTGTTTGAAAGTGTACCATCTATTTATTAAAAGAAGTTTGTATTGTGGTATTATGGTATACAGGCAGTCCCCGAGTTACATACATCCGACTTACATACGACTCCTACTTACAAACGGCGGCTATTACTGTACAGCAGGGGTAGTTGTAATGCTACCGCGCTCGAGCCGACGAGGAGTAACTGCCTTTTTGGGTCTGGTTCATAGTACTATGCGTACATTACAGGAAGTTGGCTTTTGTTAGACGTGCAGACGAGGGGTGGCCGCCTCTTCTTCCGGGTCACTGAGGTTTTAACTGCTGTCTGTATCCTCATTAGAAAGATTTAATCTCACTTCCTGTCCTTGAGACAACAGGAAATGAAAGGAAATCTACCTCTAGGAAGGGAAATCCACTCCTGTAAGAGTGATCATGGGAAAAAGGTGTCTCCACTGAAGCTTTATAACCAATACTTGTTTCCATGACAACCCAAAATTTTCAAAATCCAATTGTCACAGGGACAGAAAGTGAGGTGAAATCTTCTGAACAGGGGCACACACAGCAAAACAAACTTTACAGGGGGTTAACACTTCCCGATGCTATCCAAAAAAAAAAAAAAATGTTAACTGGAGTTACACTTAAAAAATGTACCTGTTCCAACTTACATACAAATTCAACTTAAGAACACACCTACAGTCCCTATCTTGTTAGTAACCCGGGGACTGCCTGTACTGTATTGTAAATGAAAATTGTAATTAAAGAATTATCTAATAATAAAAAAAATAAAGTTTTATCTGTGCTGTCTGGTGCACTCTGTTCTGTTTGTGTTTCACATATTTAGCTATCAAGCATTGGTTTATATGCAGAGCATACAGGAACTAGAAGTCATATGCGTGGTTTAAAGCGTGGTATTTGAAGATTCAGCTTAGTGAATTACCACAATCATGTTCAAGCAAAATTCTATTTTTTTTTTTTAAGTCTCCTTGCACATGATTGGATATTTGTTTTGCACATTTTCACTTAGCTTTACTTCATTCACAAGCCTAAGTAACAAATGTACTTTCTAAGTGGGCATGCCACGCCAAGGAGCTGCAAAGCATTGTAAGAAAGAACCATGTTTCACATGCAGCACATTTGGCTTGTAGACAGACACACTGCATTACTTATTATTATTGCTATTTATATAGCGCTGACAATTTTACCCAGTGCACATTCACATCAGTCCCTGCCCTCGGGACTTAAAAGGGCACAGGAAACGTTGCCGAGCAAAAGAAGAAATAATTCCAAAGTTGTACTCGATAAAGCACTGTGTGTTATGTTGTTGCTTCACAAAGATATAGGAACTATATAACTGTGACGAGGAGGATTCATGGATCACAGGAGTAGGCAGTGGGCACTACAAAGCCTCGCTCTGATGGGTTGCTGACAGTGGCGTAACTATAGCCATAGCAGCCCAGGCGGCTACTATGGGGCCTGGGGGTGTTGACAGGGGGCCCCATTAGGTTGTTGAGACAAATTAAACATAGAGCATGTGAAGATAATACAGTACTGCATCATTAAGGGTAGGAGGGGTTGGAGTTGATGACAACTCTCTGATCCCATGTAAAGATGCACAAGAGGAGTGTTTGGGATCTTGGCATTGTAAATCACAGCTCAGAGAAAGGTAATTTTTGCTATGGAGCCCCATGATCTGTAGTTACGGACCTGGTTGCCGATCATGTATTCACTAGGACAGCCAACGTGTTAACAAAGGTTTGTTTTCAACACAAATCTGCCAGCTCAACCGTCATTGTGCTGTGCAGAGAGAGATGCACTTTGACAGCATTTTGTATAAAACTAATAAAGAATAATAAAATAAGATAATTAAAAGAGTTTAGAAGATTATTATAAGCGATTATGGGGCAAATTGCATTTTTTTTACATTTTAAAGCATATAGTAAGCCAAAGTAGGGAATTATTAAAACATTAAAGCATAATAAAAAAAAGTAAAGGTTATTTAGATATGCAAATTAGTTATAGTCAAGGGAATGAACCCATATAGAGGCTGTAAAATGTGGTCTGGGTGTCAAAGAACTCTGGTTACAAAAGCGGGTAAGTCACTGCCTTTATTTCAAGTGACACTAAAGTCAGGAGTTAAATCATAAAAATGCATTAAAGTACCTTAACTATTAATGTAAATGTATCTTATTTGTGTATCACTCGGCTGTAGATCCTCAAATCATCTCTGAATTGGTGCTGACACTGTCCTTCCTACTGGAGGGGGGCTACTTTTGTTCCCCATGGCCCCTGAGTGTGTTGTAAAGTAGCCACCGCTCCAAGCTCACTCCTGTGATGGACTACAATCTCAATACAAATGATTAAACTAAACATGAGATTGTAGTCCATCCCGGGAGTCAGATTGGAGAAGTGAACCACTTCTGGCTTGACAAAGAGGTCCTGAACCTCGAAACGCGTAGCCAAACCCTTCTCCTCACGGACCGCAGTGTCCATCACCTTCACATCAATCCCCCACAACATTTCCTCCACGATCGCAGATCCATTGCGATACCGATCTACAGCTGCATTCCTGCTCCCGTTCAGCCGACGAGAGGCAGCCTGGCCAGCTGAGCTCTCATTGCACCTGACGGTGAGTGCCACGTTCACCAGCACAGTTCACTCTGTCCCAACGGACCCCCCAGGTACAATAACCACCAGGGAACATCTATGAACTGCCTATTGACGATGTAGCCCATTCTTCATACCCACACAGACCGGCCATAGATACCGCTGAGCGATCCATACAGCCTCCACTCCTCAACTGCAAGACCTCATCTTGTCTGTCCAAACAGTGAGTTTTCAGTCAAATATTGATTTTAAAGTTTTTATCTGTACTACCCAAAAAAATCCCAGGGTTGCAGCGCTTCTTTCCACCCTCCTTTTTTCATATGCCTACAGGGTTCCTCCCCCTGAACAAGAAGCTTGCTCACCCCAGATTGTTTTAACATTATTTCAAAATTGGTTTAAAATTGTTTTAACATTAAAATTGGTTTTAAACATATCTATTTCTCTTACCACATTCCACATCAGTTGTGCGCTCGCCATTTTTACCGTTTTTATCCAGATTGGAGCGGTGACTACTTTACAGCACACACAGGGCCCATGGGGAAAAAAAATAGCCACCCTCCAGAAGGAAGGACAGTGTCAGCACCAATTCAGAGATGATTTGAGTATCTTCAGCAGAGTGATGCATAAATAAGTTACATTGCTGTTCATAGTTAGTGTACTTGAATGTATTTTTACGATTTAACTCATGACTTTAATATTTGTAATTGAAAAGGGTTATTTATGCCTGTATCCTTTTTGGGGAGATATTCTCTCACTTCTTGTTCCAGGGGATCAGAAAACAAGAAGTGATGGGAAATCTGTTTGATGGGGACAGTAAAAGGAACCATATATGGATTTTATTTAATCACTGTAAAATGTTTTTCTTGGAGTCCATTGTGGATCAAGGAATTCATATTTTGTCAGGTTATACGCCAACCTACAGGAGGATAGGACACTGGCAAACAAAAACAAAAAATCTGTAGGCCAGCCCAGGATAAACCCTCTTATTCCGAGCATGCCTCAGTTTGTAAGTAGTACCAGAGAATGACCATAAACACAGGACCTATGTCCTTCAATGAACCCCAAGAAAGGGATTTTACAGAAAGGGAGTAGAGTACAAAAATCCTATTTTCTCTCTCGTCCATTGAGGGACCAGGATGTCATCCAGTGTCAAGACATACAAAAGCAGTCCATCAGCAAACCAATGCTAGGAAAAAATGGTTAGACGTTACCCAGGAGAGCTGGGGAAAAGATATCCATCCTCCACTAGCAAAAAAACTTAAGGTATGCTGGGTAGATGGTGTTTTCCTGGGCTGGTCTACAGATTTTTGTTTTGTTTGGCAGTGTCCAAACCTCCTGTAGGCAGCAGTATAACCTGATAGTATATGCCCTCCTCTGCTCCTCCATGGACAAAAATAAATCATTTATTTTTGTTTCAGTGTAATGGGGAAAACCTAGAACCTCAATGAAGAGAAATCAAAGTAACAAAAGCCCAAATCGAACTTCTAATCCTTCCCCACTCTAGTCACATCTAAAAGAAAAAAAAAAAAAGTTAGGACTAGCTTGAATTTCTTTTCTCACGCAAGTATCCTCTTTAATCACTGACCCATGGTTCTTAAAGCTCTGACAGCGTTCATAATTGGCTTCATTGAAGTGAAGGGTTCTATCTTTCCCGTCACATCATTTTCCAGATGAAAACGTCTTTTTGCTTTTGGCACAGTTCACCTTCCAGCCCACCCCTTCCTCATTCTAGTCTTATAAGGCCTTCCTCGAGCTCGTGCAGCATATCAGTGCCATCGGCATATGCAAGGTCCTGCGTTGTCTGGTCAGCAAAAGTTCCACAGAATATGTTTCAATAATTTATTGCCAACACTTCACACAGTTCACTACGCAAAAGTTTCAGGACCCCCCCTTGAAGGACCCCCTTTGCTCAGGGTGACACAGTGTGAGAAGTGGGGGTCACCTGGGAGTTGGGAGGTCCATAAAAACGTAGGTGGCTGCCCACCGCTGATTTTGAGTAATCATCAGACACCTCAAAACAGTACACCCCCTCCCATCTACTCCAGTTTTACGTATACTCACTGCATATCATCCAGCTTGCCCAGTAGGCGCTCTGCCAGCTGTTTCTCTTTGGATTGTAGGATGTATTTATCATTGGTCCGATAAGACTCCAGTTCTTTTAGTTCTGTCTCCCCAGGGGTCATACCCAATACCCGTTTAGTCCTGAGAAAAAATAAGGTGGTCAATTAATATTTAAATATCTCAGTAAATTAGGCTGCAAGACAAAGGACCATCTAATATTGGACATCTAGTTGACCTTATGTATTTAAATGCCAGTATTATATCTCCACAGCCACTAGATTTCATATCTTTCCTGGAATATGACAGGTCCTAAAATACATTCTATAATAATTTAAAGCTAGAACCCAGAAAGGAA